GACTCCCAGTATGAGTCTGGCATGCCATACCCGGCCCTCAGCTCATATCTGGAACACTCTAGGGTTTGTCGGCTACCGCACAGAGCAGTACAACCTCAACCCATCCCACATAATATGTCGACATATAACATAACTAATATACATACAGATAATCAGATAGTAACACATGTAGTCCTACAGATCTACCAACTGGCATAGCAACTAGCATGCATAACTAATTCGTACTCAATCATAACATCAACTACTAGGATAGCAGATCCAATGGGTCGGCATTGGTGCCTTAGACCCCTTAGTATAGTGAGGATAACTCACCTCACAAATGTCGTACTGAAGTAATAAGTTCAAACTCTCGAATTACCTCCACGGACTCCACCGCCTATAATTGCCATAAAACCATTTCCATAAATTTCCAATTTACCAAAATACCCCCAGAAGTCAAACTAGTCAACCCTTGGTCAAAGTCAAGGTCAACGGTAAAGGTCAACAGTCGAGGTTGACCCAACTCGTCGAGTCCTTCCAGAACTCAAGAAGTTATAAAACCCTAGTCCACTCGCCGAGTTTCCGGGCAACTCGTCAAGTTCAAGTGTGTCCAAAAGTCGGGAAAAACCCCATCTGACTCGTCGAGTCGTCTCACTGACTTGCCGAGTCCATGCAGAAACCATCCCCAGACAATCTCCATCCGACTCGTCGAGTTGAGGATGCAACTCGTCAAGTCTCTTCAGTCCATTACCCATTCAGACGATTTTAAGCCACCCCAAAGCTCCAAATTGTAGATCTAAGTTCCTAGGGCATACTTCCTACGTAAAGTTGCAAACTTTACGTACATGCAAGGTGCTAAGGGCCAAAATCAAGCTAAAGAAGAGGTTCTAAGTGAGGAAAAGGCATTATCTTGCTAAAGGCTGAAACTTTATGACCATGAGAACCAAGATGAGCCTAGATCTGAAGTTGCAACTTCAGATCTTGCCCAATACCCGAAATGAATCCCCAATCATGCTAGAATAGCCCTAATCTCAAGCATGAAGAGATCTAGATAGAAGGAAGTTCAAGGTAACAACTTGTTACCTTCAAGTGATGCTAAAATGGAGTAGAGTTCAGATCCTCAACTGTTCCTTGCTCAAAGCTTCTTGATCTTCAAATAACCTTAATGACACTATTTGAAGACTTTAATATAAAATATTTAAACATAATAATTGCTAAATAACAATAAATAAAATTGTTAATTTAGAGAACAACATATTTAATTTGTTAAATTTTCCTAGACGATAGTTAATTTTTCGGTTAGTTTCAATAGATTTGATAATTTTAGTGACTAACTTTATAATTTATTAATATTTGGTTACAGATAATGTAACATAAAAAAAATTATATGAAATTTACCAAATGGTTTTGAAAAAATATAAAATATATTTGAATTGTTTATAATAACTTTCATAATATTATTAAAATAATAAACATGTTGAAAAAAAATAATACAAATCTATGTTGAATAGTATAACTTAAAGTAAGGTGAAAAATAGTTTGTAGAGGTGGATCCAATGTTGCGCCGCACAACAGTTTTTAAGTCAGAAGTCTTTTAGAAAAACAAATGACTGCGAAAGTATAAGTGTTACGCGAGTGTTGCACGGCACAACAAGAAGTTGTCAGATGTGTTTTTTTTAGAAAAAGAACTAGCCCCTTAGTCAACAAGGTGCAACTTTAAGCTCATATGTACGTGGTTCTTGTATTTGTGGATTATAACATGTCGATCGCATTTTAGTTAGGTTGCCTTTTGGCTGCTCTGTTCTGGAATAGATTTTCAGATGGTTTGGCTTGGATCAAATTTCGATTACCGGTGTCGGTGAGCTTCTTCACTTTGCTGCTATTTGGGGTCAGTGTTCTAAAAAAAAAGGGAGACTCACAAGTCACAACCATTTGTTATGGCTTACTTTAGAATCTCTGGAGCAATGTTTTAAAATCGGTTTTTTAGTTGAACCAGTATGGTGACCGGTTCTCGGTTCAACCGATTTCTATAATTTTCATTTTTTTTTCCTACTTTTCTACACACATAGACATCCACAAGTTTAAACATAAAAAAATACACATAAAGACAAGTTGAAGATCAGTCCAAATACATTAAAAACATATAACCGTAAGTTTTACATCAATCCATTTACATCAAAAATAAAATAAAGTATAATACGGAAACAAAATATAGTTTTAGATGAATACAAACGAATTAAAAACTTTTATAATATTAACATGAGTTTTTTTATTCAGATAAATCTAAATAGACTGAAAAAAATAATAAGTAAAGTTTGTTATGAAAATGATTCATTTCAATGTCTTTTTATTTAATTTAACCGATTCAATCGGTTTTTTGTAAAAACCGGTCAGTTCATTCCGATTCAGAACTAAACTAAACATAAAACCGTTGCTATTAAAACCGTTCTCTTTTCCGGTTCCCAGTCCAACCGATTCAACCTACAGGTTTTTAAAACATTGTCTTGAAGTCTAGAAACGATAGGCTCTTCCAGAAGCTTTTTATTACACCATCTAAAAGGGTTGATAACATTAAGTCGATGGTTTTCTATTGCTTAAATGGAGTTTTTAACCAAAATAGGGTTATTGAAAAAACTATTTGCCAATCTACTATAGTTCCAAAAATATTTACCAATATAGTGTTTTTCTTCGTTTTACATTTATTATTCAGTTTTTCTTATCATATTTTTACTTTAAATATCTTTTTTTTTTTTACTATCTTTTTAATTTTATTTTTAAATATCAGTTTTTTTTTTCTTGTTTTTTAAAATCAGTTTTTTTTTCTTTTGTTTTTTAAGTGTAGATGAATATAACGAATATACAAAAATGAATATTTATATATATGACTACATGTCTTATAAAAAAATATATCTTAGTTAATATCATTATGATATATTAGATGTAAAATTCACGTAATATATAACGACTAATATTTTTGTGTTAATATTTCTATAACGCATTACATATTCCAGCAACAAAGGTTTTTTTTATTGTTATATGATCTTATATTTAGATTACCTTTTTTTGTTGCTTTGATCTAAGATTTTTTTTAAACAAAAAGAGAACAACATAAGTATATATATAAAACTTTAAAATGGAAATACTAAGCTGTCAAAAAGATTTGAAAAACCATTAGGTCTATTATAGAAAATAATAGTAAAAGTTGGGTATAACTAATCTAGTGCACACTGTTATTTTGGTTCATTAGATGCTCTATTTGTTATATTTTTTTTAGCATTTCTATATTGATGAAGATGTTTTTTGGAATTTTTTTTATCTTAGAAAAAACATTGTATAATGTTGAAGTTTTTGCATTTTAAAGAACATTGAATGTGTAATGGTAGATTTAATTTAAGATGACTAAAATTTGTTGTTCAAAAATGGTTTGTATAATTAGTATAAATAATGTCAAAGCATTTTTGTTAAACATAAATAAAAAAAATAAAAAACTGAAATAAAAAACTAAAAAACTGATTAAAAAAATTAAAAAGAAAATTAATATTTAAAAAATAAAATAAAATAAATATTTAAAAACTAAAAAAAAAAATAGTTAAAGTAAAAAGATAATAAGAAACTGAAAAATACAAGAAAAATAAAGAAAAACACTATTTTGGTAAATATGTTTCAAACCATACTAAATTGATAAATATTTTTGGGAAATCTCCAGAAAAGTCGTAAAATTTTATCATAATTTACGTAAAAGTCCCAAACTAAAATTTGTTTACGAAAAAGCATGAATTACCGGTAAAAATGACGATTTGACCCCTTTTTCCGGTTTACCGGTTTCATTGCTTACAAGTTTCACTAAAGTCTCATTATTTTACCCTAATTTGCGAAAAAAATCCCAAACTAAAATTTTGTGATGATTTGACTCTTTTCTTCATGTAAAACGTACATTTTATCGGTTTCATTGCTGACTTAGACACCTAGTCATTAAATTAGCTGATAAGATGAATACAATGAGTTATATAATGCTACATTTACTGTAAAATTTGATATCCATCTCATCGGCTCATTTATGACTATGTATCTAGGTCAGCAATGAAACCAATAAAATGTGTGTTTCCAGGAAAAAAGGGCAGAAAATGAGTTGATGTCTCATTAGATAGATATATTGGGTTAAATAAGATTAGATAGACAATTTGATATTTCTTATAAACGTAAAAAAGAACGCAGTTGTTGCTAGTTTATGTAATTATTGTAATCTTTGTGGGATGCATTTTATGTTCCAAAAGAATATACAATACATTAGGATATCAAGTTTTATGCTAAACATAGCATTGTATAACTCAGCATATCCATCTCATCATCTCATTTAATGATTAGGCGTCCGGGTCAGCAATGAAACCGGTAAAAATTTATGTTACATAGAGAAAATGGTCAAATCATCACTAAATTTTAGTTTACGACTTATTCGTAAATTAGGATAAAATAATGAGACTTTAATAAAACATATAAGTAATGAAACCGGGAAAAATGGGTCAAATCGATATTTTTACCGGTAATTCATGTTTTTTCGTAAACAATATTTAGTTTGGGACTTTTTCGTAAATTAAGATAAAATTTTAACACTTTTCTGGAGATTTCCCAATATTTTTTTCAATAACCCTATTTTGGTTAATAACTCGCTTAAATGTAGGAAGTTTAGAAACGTTCCCCTGTTTTTCGTCCCACATCTACTGTTTTTCGTCCCACATCTACTTGCTAGGCAGGGGTCTATTAATATTGATCGTTTCCAAAACTAAAGGCTTCGTCCCTCTCTAATTATTTGATAGGTGGGTCTATTGATATATTGGTTGTTTCCAAAAAAAAATATCTAGAAACACAAGAATGAATGTAGATGATTGTGTTTTAAGAGTAAAAGACGCTTAGGTAGAAAAAAAAGTTATTTATTGAATCAATCCACCATGAGATGTCTTGTAATACATTGGTATAACATGTATACACAAATATAAGTAAACAATTTATAAATTAAATTTTTTTCTCAAACCAACCAAAATGATAAAAACACCCCACATGCATTTGAACTTCAAGCCACCCATCATATCCACCGTTACATACTACTGTTTCCAAATTGTGGGGCCATGCCCTTTGCTATATCTCGTAGGGTAAACTTCTGAATCTTTCCGGTGGCTGTCTTCGGCAGCTCCTCCATGAACACCACCGTCTTAGGCACCATATAATGCGGCAACCTCTCTCTGCAAAACTTTATTAGCTCCTCCGTGCTCGCTTTTCCCATCAGACTCACAAAAGCACATGGCGTTTCACCCCAAAATTTATCCGGCCGAGCCACCACCGCCACCTCGTGCACCGCCGGATTCGTATACAACACGGATTCCACCTCCACACTACTCACGTTCTCGCCACCGGTTATGATCACGTCTTTTGACCTGTCTTTGATTTCTAGATACCCATCTGGGTGTATCACTCCCACGTCGCCCGTGTACAACCACCCATCTTCTCTCATGCACATGGCGGTGGCGCGTGGGTCTTTCAAGTACCCCAGCATTAAACACGCGCCTTTCAGAACAATTTCACCTTGAGTCAACCCATCGTGCTTGACTCCGAGTCCTGACTTCGGGTCCAACACATTGACTTCAGTCAACCCTAGGGTTCTCACTCCTTGTCTTGCTTTTAAACTCGCTTGGTTACTCACCGGCAACCGGTTCCATTTTTCTTTCCAAGCACAAGAAACCACTACACCTGCCACCTCCGTCATGCCGTACCCATGGCTGACGATAAAACCTAGTGCCTCAGTACGGAGGACTACGGCAGCGGGAGGCGGAGCTCCACCTGTCAAGAAATGAACCGGGTTGCTTAACGGTCTAGCGTGGGGTGAGTTTGCTATCATGTTGAGAACAACCGGCGCACCACACATGTGGGTGACATTGTGACGGTTCAAGGCGGAAAAGACATCTTCGGCGGTGAACTTGTGGAGACAAATGTTGGTGCCACCGACGGCTGCCATTCCCCAGGTGAAGCTCCACCCGTTGGAGTGAAACATCGGAAGAGTCCATAAATAAACTGGTTCTTTAGGCACCGACCAGTCTATAAGTGAATCCATGGTAATGATGAAAATTGCACGATGAGAATGAACGACTCCTTTAGGGGATGACGTAGTTCCGGAGGTGTAGTTAATTGTCATCGGATCCCACTCATTCACAGGCCTAATCCACCGGAAATCCGAGTCTCCTTTCTCGACTAAATCTTCATACGTCGTCACACAGTCAACGTCTTTCACCGATCCCACGCATGGTAGCATAGTTAGAGAATCTATAATGAAAAGGAAATTAATATAAAGATTTTATCATGTTAACAAAGTACATCTCTATATGTTATAAAAAATTAAGATGGAAAGCAACGTGGATATATCCTTACCTACTAGCTTATCTTTTGTTCCGTCATTACCCACACTGACATTATCCGTAATGAGAACCACCACCGGCCGCCGTATCCCTGGCGGGAATCTCGCCACAGCCTCCTCGGCGAGAACTCTAAGATGAGTATCAACAAACAACATCTTTGCCTCGCAGTGGCGGAGCATGACGGAGATTGTCCGAGCATCAAGACGAGTATTGAGATTGTTGAGAACAGCACCAGACATCGGCACAGCGAACTGCAGCTCGTACATGGCGGGGAGATTAAATGCCAGAACAGACACAACGTCCCCTCTCTGGATTCCAAGTCCGACAAGGGAGGAGGCCACCTGGAGGCAGCGGCGGTGGGTCTGTGTCCATGTGAAGGTGGTATTATTGTATTGGATGGAAATGCAATCGCCATAAACGGTGGCAGCTCGCTCGAGGAAGGTGAGAGGAGTAAGTGCAATTGAATTCGCGGATGTGGGGCGTAGTTGATCCATGCTGTATACGTACAAATTACAGTCTCTGATGGATGCTTATCTAAAGAGTGTTCTGAAACTTGATATAAATGTTGCAACTAATAAACCATATACCGATTATATGCATTTATTGATTGAGCCTGGGTGCTTCATGAAGTGCCACCCTTTCACTATTTATTATCTTTTCTTCACCATACTATTCGGCATATAATATAAGCCAGCCATATACCAGCATCTCCGATGGGTGATTCATAAAAGGAAAATTTTTAATTAGCTTGATTTAGTTTTTATGGTGTTCGTACAATACAACACTTTAATTTTATGGTGTTTCTACAATACAACACTTTAATGCACAAGTTGTTGTGTACTAATCACTTCCCTTTATAAGAATTATCGTCTTAATTACTAGCTTTTGTTTACTTATATATCGTCTTAATTAGCTTTTTTATTCACTTATATGGATTATCCACTTAATTAGCTTTTTATTTACATTTATCGCCTTAATTAGCTTTTGATTTACTTATTTATATGGATTATATATTGTCTTAATTAGCTTTTGATTTACTTACCATGGATAATATTAAATAAAGAAGGAAGTTTTACATAGATGTCACACCCCTAAACCAGAACGCCGGAAACGTCTGGGGACGGATGGACTGACTTCATGTGCAGTATCATAACAATTGAATATAATTGAAACATAGCAAAACAAACATTCATACATTGAGGATTCAAGTTTACATTGTTTACAACACTTTGTTTGTTCAAAGTTAAATACAAATAACTTAAAAGTAAAAAACATGAAATGACGACGTCAACCCTCAAGAAGGCTTGAATACCTGTCTACTGGTTTCCAGAGAATACAAGTGATTTTAAAAAGTCTCAACAATTAAGTTTGTGAGTTCATAAGCATGTTTGTATGAGAAATCTGTCATTTATTCCTTGAAAATGTAAGGGAGTTCTTCCAGAAAATCCTATATTTTCTTTTGTAAATGAAATGTAGTCTTAGACCTTAAGACCAAAAATGTACAAGTTTTCTTATGCTTAAAATTTGTAATACGAAATATGAAATTCGAGTAGGTAGTGTAACCCTTATCGGTTCCTTCTATGATCACTTAGTGTATACAAGTTATATATAATTAAGATCGAACGGACAATCGAATGAATGGTTCTGCCCTAAGCCCACAACCAAACAAGGAACAGGAAGTAAAGCGGAAATCACACATTCGACTGCCTATCAGTTCTTCATTTTATATAACCCTAACGCATACACTAAGAAATCATAGAGAGAACAATAATGGTCCTATCAGAAATGTAAGTTGCACTGTACCAGAAAATAGTATATTGTATTTGTATTTGTATGTAATCATTTTTAATGTATGTGCCTGGATTTACCATTTGTACTGTAAAATATTGTATTGTAGTTTTATTATTAAATAAAACTAATTGAAGTTATTTATGTATTCATACACTAATCGTATTGTTAATACCAAATTGTGAGTTATTATAACCATGCTTGATGACCTAGGATGGCCTGATACGACGTTCTTCAGGCGTCAGAATCGATACGACATTTGTCACCCCAGGCCTGTCGGCCTAACTATAGCTAACAGTTTAGGTGCGGGTTTGTCAGTCCCGTATAGATCTATACACAAGTGTCACGCTCTCCCTCCAGGAGACTTTGGTTATAATGTCAGGTCTTTTGTTGGTACTTAGATAAGTACTTGAAGTTTGTCTCACAAAGCTATATTGACGGTTACGTGTAGAATAATGAAAAGCCCTTTTGTAATGAATAAACCGTATGCATATCTCATAAACTAAACTTATTATAGTTTATATGTTTGTTTCCGTATTGTATCCCGAACTTAGTGAAATAGTATGTATGTTCCATAAACTATACCAATTATAGTTTAACATGTTTGTTTGTTAAGAACATTGATATAACCATTTATATAAATATGTAGTATCTATCTTGTCTAGTTTCAAAATGTAAGGTCAAAACATTATGTTTTGGGTTGTAACCCACAAAATAGTAAACTAACTAGAATGTACTCCCTTTATTATGAAAGTTATATTTTAATAAAAGCTTCAAAAATCATGTAGTTTTACAAATCATAAATTTCTTATGATTTTATAACATAGGTTATGTTTGTTTTGTTAGTTTTGCATTTCAAACTAATATATATCACAAATAATTATACAAAAACTAGTATTAACCATATATTATGCAAATAATATCTTATCTTTAACATAAAGATGAAAACATGTAAATATTTGTGTGGTAAACAAAGTTTTACTTGTATTCCCCCCCCCCCCCCTAAAACATGAAAAAACTTAAAAATGTGGGGGTATGAACTCACATTGAGTGGATTTGTGGGTTATTTGAGGTGATGAATTGAAGATTTCAAGCCTAAACCCTTGAATGAAGTTGATGAACTTCCTTGAGAATAATTTTATCCTAAAGGTTTTAACACATTTTAATGTGCGTAAATAAAGTGAAACCAATATAAAATGTATAGAGTCACTAGGAAATCTCGAAAATACTTACCAAAATCTAAGGATGATTCTTGGAAAATGTTGAACTTGGAAGATCCTAGGTTGGTTCTTGAGAGAATAAGGTGAGATTAACAGGAAGTAGAATGGAAGAATGGTGGGGCTTGTGGAACGAATTCGTCCAAATATAGGAAGTGGAAGTTGATGTGATATTTACGTGGATAACTGTTGGTTATTATATGGATGTATGTTGGTTATTACGTGGGTTACTGTGACCTTGCACGGGGAAAGGAATGAGATATCAAATCTTAAAGTCAAACCTTATCCTGTGTATCTTACTGGAATCATTTTAGGATGGACTACCTTGAAGTTTTCGGCCATACATGACCGAAATCTCCCCATTTCCTTTGAGATTTTTGTCCTAACTTCCCCCCCCCCCACTATTGTGATTTCGGCCTTAATGGACTTACCTTTGGGGTTTTCGGCCTTAATGGACTTAACTTTGGAGTTTTCGGCCTTAGTGATTTCTAGGCATTGAGATTTAGGTCCTAGGTTCATTCTAGTGTGTGTTTTCGGTTTTGAATCACCCACTAAGGGTGATTGCGGTCCTAATCCTTCCACATATGTTGATTTCGGTTTAGAGGTGTTCTAGGGTGGGTGGGGTACTAGGCTAAATACTATAAAACAATGTTTTAAATCCTAGATTCCTATTCCAACTATTTGACTAGTCTTGCTTTGTTATAACTTGTTTACTTTCAAGAGTCTATTATAGGTATGATTTCCAAAGTATATATACCTTTAAAAATATATATATATATATATATATATATATATATATATATATATATATATATATATATATATATATATATATATATATATACTTATCCCCTTTTGGCTTTCAAGGGTTTATTGTAACAAGGTTACAATGTGAATTCACTTGCACATGGCTACAATCATATATATACTTATGCCTTTTTGGCTTTCAAGGCTTTATTGTAACAAGGTTACAATGTGAATTCACTTGCACATGGCTACAATCTAGACCTTGCTTGATCCAAATCTTTCGGGTTGTCACAATAGACGTAGCGGGTAAACGAGCAACAAGCTGTGCCACCACCCCTTTTTGGATGGTTATCGACTTAATTAGATTTTGATTTACTTACTTATATGGATTCCATATCGCCTTAATTAGCTTAATTTACTAACATATATGGATTATTTCAATCACATGTGTTGTGGTGGCCTAATAAAACATGTGAAAGATATGATGGATAACATAATATTGTATGTTAAAATCCCGACATTAGGGCAAATGACATTGTAGCACATCAAACTTTTTCCATTTGTCCAATTTGGTCACTAAAGTTTTTATGGTCAATTAAGTCACTAAAGTCATGTTTTACCTGTCAATTAAGTCATTTTCCCTGATTTTAAACGGTTTCCCAGTTTCCTTCTTACGTGGCTAAGTGATGTGTCAAAAACCCCTTACCTGGACTTCCAACGTGGCACCTAACGTGTTATCTTCCCAAATATGCTATTAATTAAAACCCCGATTTGGACCTCATTCATTTCTTTCTTACCTCTTCATGAAAAGTCGAAGCAAGCACCCTCCTTTACATAATCAGCTTGTTCAAATCTTCAACACAATGTCTACGAGCTCGTCCAATGCAAGAAATCGCCTCCAAGTTGCTCATGTGTTTGTTAAAGACGATGTTAACAACTGTGACTGCGATGTTCCAGCTAAGGAACGGACATGTTGGAAGCTCACTAACCCCGGCAGACGTTTTTGGTACTGCAACAACAGCTTGGTAAACTTCGATCTAGCTTGATTTGTTAATGCGAGATTTTTAGGGTTTTACTATTAAAAACTCATTCCATTACGAAAAAAACCCTAAAAATAATTTTGATTATATTGGGTTGTTGTCGTGATTTTGTTTCTAAAACTACAGGTACGATCGCGATTCTTAACTGGTGTTGTAGTGTTAATCCTTTTTTATTTCGTGGTTTCTTAAATTGCATTTGGTGATTAGTGATTATGTTTTGATGTTTTATTCATGTGGGTTTGATACAGACAAGACTGAGGAAATGTGATTACTTTGAATGGAAAGATGTTGCACTGGAAGATGGTTACTACAAAAACCTCATTTATTCCATGAAGCAGCAGTTGGATTCCAAAGAGGATCTTGGTGTCATAAAAAACTTGAGGACTAAGAATGTGGAGTTAGAGTTTCTCGTGAGTAAGGAGAAGAGTCTAGTGGCAAGCATGGACAAGGGGATGTGTGATTCCAAGAAGAGAATATGTATGTACAAGCTGTTGGTAGTTGTTCTAGTTGTTGGGTATGTTTGTTTTGTTTTTAAGTTAGCTAATTAGTGTTGGGATGTGAAGCTTTCGGTGTAGCTGTTAGTGTAAGGTGTATGTATTAGGATGTGAAGTTTTTTTGAATCTTTTGTAAAGTTAGTCTAAAGTGGTAATATACTGCATTTTGTATCTTTTGTAAAATCCCAATGACAGTTGGTAATTAGCCTTAATGTAAAGTCCCAACGACATATAACTGGAATGGAAAGTTTATGTTGATAGTGTAATGGAATTGTTTATGTTAATGGAATTGTTTTCGTTATTCAACTGAAACATGCATGTATGGTTTCATTTCCCTATATTAATATAATTACATTGGTTGCAATGGTCCATGTGAAAGTACCAATTGTATGGGGACCATTTGCATACATAGTGGATGTTTTATAATTGGGGAAATGGGACCTTTCAACCCATTAAAGTATTATATCTGGTACCATATACCACATTGACATTCATGCACATAATTCCAAACTATTCCATGCAGAATATATACAAAGCCATTACCTTTTCTTATAGCCAAACACATTAAAAGACAACATTCTTCAGTTAACTTAAAATGGCAACATACTATCATAGTCGCCAAAAATTACCATATTTCCCAAACACAAACACAAACACAAAGTCAAAATTATCATTATCCTAATAGACTTACATTAAATCCATATTCAAATACACAAACCATAACACCCTACCCTAATCAATTATAAGAGCTTTTCCCTTGGAATTTCCTGGATCATCCACACCACCAATTGTCTTTCCTAATTTGATCTTCAATATTCTCTTTGAATTTCTTCTCCTTCTCCTCTTCAAAATATCTGAAATTGGTCTAACCTGCTGTACATGCACATTAGGAACCTCAACAGCTTCCTCAACCACAACATTAACTATACCCTGACCATCTTCAACCACACCATTAGCTTGACCATGACCATCTTCAATCACACCATTAACTTGACCATGACCATCTTCAACCACACCATTAGCTTCACCCTGACCACCTTCAACATTTTCAACCTCCACATCCTCACCAACAAAATCTTCAGCTTCATAACTTCTAGGAGGAGTCACTTACATATACTGATCACAACCCCTAGCACTACTAGATTCAGAATCATTAGGAGTAGCCTGGAAATCATTTTGAGTAGTATCCACCTGAATTGGAGTCAATTCAACCTCATCATGTTGTTGGGGTTCACTTGTACTAGCTTACATTATAGGAAATAATTATGTAAATGGATAAGCATATGTAAATAACTTTAAATAGAAAATGGTTTTACTTGGCCTGCTTTTTTCCTTGGACAAAGTTTTTGTTTCTTGTTTTTCCTTTCATTTACATCTTGGGGTCTTCTTTGTGGACAAGTAGCCTTGTTGTGACCTATCTCCTTGCATATACTGCATTTGATCTTCTTTCCTGCCTTAGAAACATTGTGTTTTCCTTTATTCTCTGTAGTTGATTTCTTCCTACTAGTAGTTGGCCTACCAGAAATCCTTCTACTAATAGGAGGCAATGGTGAATCATAGTTGGTCTATGGCCACATGTCACTCCTATTCATAGTGGAAATTCTGTAACTGTATGCCTTCCTAAAGGTTGTGGTGTTATACATGTTGTCCACATAGGCTTCTACATCCCTATTAAGATAGGATATGCTTGTTACAGAATGAGCACATCCATATCTATTCAATTGCCACAACCTACAAGAACATGTTTTCCTTTCTAAGTCCATTCGATATGCACCTGTTTCTCCCTAACCTCAAACCGGTTTAATCCACTAGGCAGTACCTGATAATTCCTCTAGACCTTCTTAAGCAAATTCACCTTATCCCTTATCTCTGGAAAAATATGATTTCCCCATTGTTGTCCCTTCAACCTCATGTTTTACAATCTGGCCATCATATACAATCTTATTTCCTCAAACATGGTGATTATGGGCTTCTTCCTGGCATCTACTATCACAACATTAAAACTTTCAAAGAAACCATTTTCAACTGCATTACAACACCTTCCAGGTTGAAAGAAAGCTCTACACCAGGTTTTTGGATCTTTGTCCATGAGATATTGATGGGCATTTGGGTTCAATGTCTCAATTTCCTTCATCACAACTTTAAAAGCATTGTCAGTTGTAGATTTTGATGCTCTCCAAAACAATGTATGGTATATGGCCCCATTAAATCTCTTCTGTAAATTTTGGCAAATATGTCTAGCACGCTGTCTGTGCTCTACATATGGCAACAACTCCTTAACAACCTCTATCAAACCCTATAAAAAAAAGAAGAATTAAATCAAATAGTGTAAATTACGTATACTTCAATTACAATGTAATAAACTAACCTTATGTTGGTCTGACATTAAACTGAATCCATTTCCTAAATTTAAGTGTAGATCCTCAATGAGAAGTTCCAAAAACCACTTGCAATTCTGCTTGTTCTCCATACATACCATAGCCCAAGCAATAGGATATATCTTGTCATTTGCATCCCTCCCAACTGCACAAAGAACTTGCTGAAATACTTCTTTCCATCTGGGCCAGTCTCCACATCTGATTTTACATTTGACCATGGATTAGTCCTCAGAATCTCATGACCATATGACCATAGCCTATCATAATGTTCAACAAGACTACCTTCAATAAGTTTTAGTGCATACTTCTTTGCTCTCTTGTATTGGCCCATACTAACTTGGATACCAAATTTTGTCATTACCTTTACCCTAAGCTTCCTTACACTCAATTTTTGACTCTGCACAATTTCTCTGGTATAATGACTCCCAATCCATGCATATGTCACTAGTGACCCTAACTTGAAGTCCCTAGCACAATTATGATAATCTTTTAGTGACTTGATTTGGAAACTCTGTTCATCACTCATCCAAGAAGCCCATAGTCAAAATGTGCAAGCACCTAACCATTACTACACCTAACCAAAAGTCTTTTCCTATCATTTTTTGTCAAAACAAATTTGATATCCATTAGCCACTGCATAGTTACACAACATTGATTTAACTTGGGCTGGATCCTTAAATCTCATTCCAAGAATTGGTTTCTATTTTTTCTAGTGTATCAACTCATTAAAAATTGCATGCATGGGTGGTTCATCATCATCTACAATATTGTTATCCTCACCCTCATCAACACATAACTTACTTAGGAAAGGATCTTCTGATGTCCTATTCATACTAACTACATCCTTATTAAATTCCACATTCCCATTCCTAAGTTTATCTATATTATCCTCATTTTCACCATCAATACAAGACTCATGATCATCATCAGCTTCCTCATCATCAAACCACCCATCTACTCCCACTCCAACATGATCGATATAAACAGAAATTACACCATCTGCTCCATAAGCATCAAATATAAAAGCAACGAATTCCACATCATCTAAAATGGGATTAAGCCCATCCATCAGGGAAAGGCCTGATTCATAGTAGTACATCTTTTTAACCTCCTCATGCATGAAACGTTCAAAGAAAGTGACACACTCAGAAAATGTCATTGAAGAAAAATCAACATCATTAAACATGGTTTTGACACCAACAGTGTAAAAGAAAGGATTTCGAGTAAATACCCCCTGATAGTTGAGTTCCACCATCGCAAACAATCCATTAGGGTCCGTTTGTGCCATTCCAATGACTGCTTTGATTCTTCAACTTAACCACAAATATCCTTGAAAAACCCTAGCTCAGTTTCGTGATTTGGTGATAAATGAAGAACACAGGTCGACGGGTGAAGCAAGTGAGTTTAAGTATCGACTCTTATATCATTAATTAACATGGCAAATCGTACGTGTAATATGCTTACTACATAAACTAAGTATTAAATGTAAGTTATTTACACCTAGACAAAGTCAACTGGGAAACCGTTTAAAATCGGGGAAAATGACTTAATTACTAGGTAAAACATGACTTTAGTGACTTAATTGAACAAAAAAAACTTTAGTGACCAAATTGGACAAATGAAAAAAGTTTGATGTGCTACAGTGTCATTTTCCCCTGACATTAGTCAACATTTGGGGCTATGGAGGTTCATCTACAATGACTCCACAGCATGCGACATAGTCTCACATTTGCAGCGAGGGATTAGTTGATGCGCAAAAACTCGCTCGGAAACCTCGTTAGGAAAGTTACCTTTCAAATTGATGCGACATCGACCTCCGGCGTGTCTTCTGGTTTTATGTTGTGGCGGAGATCTGCTAGTCACAATCACAGAGACGCGTTAGAGCCGATCCAGGGACTGTGCCCCGGGAGCGGGCTCCAACGGTCAAGTAAGATCAGCTAGAAGATCTGAGATGGTCCTCCATAACTGGAGAGAACCATCTTGGTGCTAGTGGTGGTGTATGGTGGCTGACGGCGGCGGGTGGCGGCTGAGCCACCCTGCCGGAGTATAGTGGCGGCTGAGCCATGGGGGAAGTCTAGTGGTGGCTGAACCACCTGGGAGAGAGTCCTCCTTCATGGAGGAGGCACTATTCTATTTATAGTGGATAATTAGGTCAAGGGGAATTGGGGCAGGCCTTGTGCCAGCCCAATTCAGGCCCAACTAGCAAGGAGCTGGGCAAGGCCGCCCGGAGGCGTCGGGCGGGGCTGGCGGGCGCACACCAGGAAAGGATGGCAGGGGAGCGCCAGGCGAGGGAGCGCCTGGTCGGGCCGGCAGGAGAGTCCCCAGTAGGGCTGGCAGGGGAGTCCCTAGCGAGGCTGGCAAGGGAACGCCAGGCAGGGCTGGCAGGAGCGCGCCAGGCCCGGCTGGCGCGCTAGAGCAGTCTAGGCCATGCTAATGGACCATATATCATCAAGTCCCCCCAGTCTGGTGTTATTAGTACGCGGCCAATGACATCGGACTGGAACTAGTCATATAAACTGTGCGTCGTCAGGTCCCCCTAGTCTGATGCGATTGGCTTGCTGACAATCGGATCGGACTAGATAAAGCACCAAAGCATTTAAATAATAAAGAGAAATGACCGAACCTCGCCCACAAGAGTCGTGGGGTTGTGCGATGAGCCAAACACTGCTTGAGCTGACTTGATACTCCTTCATTGGGAGGAGTGCGAGCCGGCCGGTGAGATGCAACGTAACTGTTGCTGTGATCATGCGGACTGAGGCTGCTAAAGAGTGTTACGCGACACTGATGTCGGTGGAATGTCGGACCGGGGTAGCTAAGAAGCGTAAGCTTGCCATTCAGTCCTTGAGACTGTTATCCGACGTGATTGTTGTGGTAGCCATGCGAGATGGGATGTCACCAGTAACCATCTACATAGTCTGCATTAATAACCATCTTGAGGATCTTTCTTGCTCGGGCTACACCTAGCTGGATTGCGGCGTACCAACCCTATTCCCCCCCCCCCTTTCTTAGAGGAGGCGAGGAATAGATTCCGAGAGCTGGGCGACTAGGTTGCTAGCGAGGGTCACGTAGTAAGACTATTGTCGATAGCCAGACAACAGAATTCTTGAGGAACAGGTGGTAAGGCTATAGGTAGGAAACATGCAGTGAGACTGTTGCCGAGAGCCAGGCAGCAGAGGTGCTAAGGGATAAACGGTGAGGCCAGAGGTATGGGTTGCGCAGCAAGACCATTTCCAAGGGCCAGTAAACAGAGACGCTGTGGGGTACGCGATGAGGCTACATGTAGGGTTGCACAGCGAGACCATTTCCGAGAGCCAGGAAACATAGATGTCGTGGGGTACGCGGCGAGGCTACAGGTAGGGTTACGCAACAAGACCGTTTCCGAGAGCCAGGAAACAGAGATGCTGTAGGGTACGCGGCGAGGCTACAGGTAGGGTTACGCAGCAAGACCGTTTCCGAGAGCCAGGAAACAGAGATGCTGTGAGGTCGTAGGTAGCAGGGCCGCTGTCGGTATGACCTTCTTGCTGGAGAGTATCCTCACTATATCAGGTTGTAATGCGGATAACACTTCATCGATCGTCCGAGCACGAGAGAGCCGTGATGACTGTGAGATAGGAAACACCGAGATCATGGTGTTGGTCGTGGAATAAGCTTGTGATGCGCGACTTATGATGCGCGGCTTAGGAGAATGGCTTGGGCTTAGCAGCCAATGATCATGGAGGTGTCATGCGGGAAAGCCTCGCGTGTAACAGAACGGGTTTGGCTGCTAACGATCGTAGATAGATCGCGCGAGAAAGCGTCGCATGGAATGGATCGCGCTTGGCTACCAGCGATCGTAGATAAATCACGCGGAAGAGCGTCGCGTGGAATGGCCGGAGCAAGTTGCTATAATGGAGTCGGGCTGAGAAGCCAGGCGACTCGAGGCCAAGGTATTGAACCTCGTATGCGGAGCGTGCCGCTATAATGGAGTCGGGCTGAGAAGTCAGGCGACTCGAGGAGAGGGTACTGAACCTCGTATGCGGAGCGTGCCGCTATAATGGAGTCGGGCTGAGAAGCCAGGCGACTCGAGGCGAGGGTACTAAACCTCGTATGCGGAGCGTGCCGCTATAATGGATTCGGGCTGAGAAGCCAGGCGACTCGGGGCGAGGGTACTGAACCTCGCATGCGGAGCGTGCCGCTATAATGGAGTCGGGCTGGGAAGCCAGGCGACTCGAGGCGAGGGTACTGAACCTCGCATGCTGAGCTTGCCGCTGTAATGGAGTCGGGCTGGGAAGCCAGGCGACTCGAGGAGAGGGTACTGAACCTCGCATGATTGGGCGTATCACCCCACGATCTATGCGTCTAGCTCGCGTGATCACTCTGGGTTAAAGCGGAATGGTACCTGATGCTTTGCTGCATCGCTAGTCGTACTAATAACTGATGCCTCGCTGTCTTGACTGTTTGTCGAGGGCTATGCGGGGGAGCTACTTAGAGCTGGATAGTGTAGCTACCGTCAAGTGGTGCGTAGCAAGACCGCCGTCGAGAGCTGGTCATCCGGGTCGTTGAGAACTAAGCACCGAGCTGCTAGCGATAGATGAGCAGCACGACCGCTGAAAGCTGGGCAACAAGACTACCGAGGGTTGAACAGCGGGGCTGAGCTTCCGACTCGGAATATTAATATCACCTTGGGAGTGCACTATCATGCATAACATCAGCTCTTCATGTACTTTAACTCTGCCCCTTTGGAATCACTCATGCATAGTGTCGTACCAACACTACCCCCCCTATTTTTTCTCTCTCTTTAGAGGAGGCGAAGAGGGATGTATAGCCGCTGAAAGGCGAGATACATAGCTACTGGAAAGAGCTAGGCGATTCAAGCAGGCCGACAAGAGCTGGTTAGCGCGGCTGCCGAGGGCTAGGCAGCGCAACTGCTAGTCCGGCAACGTAACTACTGATGGCTAGGCCTTGCAGCTGCTGAGCTGGGCCGCATTGCTATTGAGAGTCAGGCTGCACAACCGCTGAGAGCCAGGCAGCGCAACTGCTGAGGGCTAAGCAGCGAGACTAGCGAGGGCCAGTCAATACGAATGGTAAGGGGTGGGTAGCGAGACTGCCTGCAGTTGGTCAACACGGTTGTTGATAGCCGAGCACCACCATTGTTGAGGGTTATTTCAGAACGCTTCACGAGTAGTAGCAGTGTACTACTCCTCCCCCTCCCCCCCCCCCTTTTTTTTTTGAAAATGTCGAGTTGGACCGCAATGTATCTTTTGGATTTTGACTTTGTTGGATCGACTTGCAATACGTGATCATCTGATTTTATCTTGCTAGGATGGGTCCAATAAGGTGAAAAATTGATGTAGAGAACCCCACATTGCTAAAATAAATTCAAGAGGCCATTTGAAAGTGACTAGCCCAACTCCCTTTCTCCTTTTTATTATTTTTTTTATATATTTTGAAAGTGTCGAGCGGACCGGTCCGCCACGCGTTTTCCAAAGCGTACTATGTTAAGCGGCGCTTGCGTCGTGCGAATGTTAGATGACTGATTTTGGTTCCATAAGATTGTGACATAATCGTGAAATTAATTTGGAAGAAAACCCAAATTAAAATGTTGCAGACCACTTATGTTATAAGTCCAAGATTAACTTAAAAGAAGCCCAATTTTAGGAAGGAAGCCCAAATTGCGTATGACAAACCCAATTTCTTTTATATATATATTTATTCGTTGTTGAGCGTGTGTAGGAGCCCAAAAATAGATATATAAGTCCCAAATATCACCCATTTACTTAGCCTAACTGAAAAATAACGGCCCAAAATCGAGTTGCGGGCCTGCATAGGAAATGGTCAACCCAATATGAGGTTGCTAAAGCTGCCTGCGGAATGTGGGCCAATGCCCTAATTTTCTTCCTGTTGCTTTTGTGAAACGAATTGGCAGACTTCTCTTCTTCTCCACTTTCATTCTTTCCTTATTGGGGCTGATCGACTGATGATTGAAAGTTTCATTGGGTCCTTATCTGTGCTCATGACCCGTATGAAGAGATCAGGGTCACACTTCTCCGGTGACGTTGAGTGAAAGGGGGGTCTGAGAAAAGCTTGTCGGCGGTGTTGCTGCTCTTTCCGGTGCTCAGGGTTGCGGCGTCTCGGTGGTGTTTCGATTGAGCTGGCAGCCGACGGAGATGCTTAGAGTAAGGGATAATAGAGATGGTGACTGTTGGTAATTTGCTTTAGCAATTGATGATCGGTGATGTTGGATCCGGGTGACGGCGACTATGTGTGAGGAATATCGGAGTCGCTGATTGCTGTTGGTGGTCCTGTCGTGCTTTGGTTATGGCAACTGGCGGCGGATCGAGGAACCAGGGGTCGGCGCCTGGCGCTGGTGGCACTGCTTCGTTTGGTTGGTATTCGACGAGGTATCCGCCGTCGATGATTGTTGGTTAAGCATGACAAGCTATGGCCTAATTTCAACTCCCGATGGTTGGCTGGTGGCACTTCAGATCAGGTTACCAGCGTAGAATTGAGAGACATGAGCCGAGCGAAGCTGCCTGTCGGAGATTACGGCTGTGTCGGGCGGTGCTCGGAGGTGGCTCGCCTTTTCTGGATGGGGAGATAGACTGGGTGGGGTCCAACTAATGGTCGTTTGACTTTATTTGACAGCTCTGAATCAGGTGGGACCCGACTCTTGTCTTGTGTTAGCAAACATATGGGCGCATAGACCATCTTTCCCTTTCTTTTTTTCTGTACGCCAGAATTGGACCAGGTGGGTCCCATTGAAAATGTTGTTGTCTGTTTGTGGTGTGCACTGTATACACCATCTTTTCATCCCCTTTTTTTCTTGAGAGTGGAGTAAATACGATTTTTGATATCTTTTTGTGTAATGTGTTGTAAATATTAGCTGTAAAGATTTTGTGTGTATATACACATGTTTTTTTATTTCTTTTACAGATATGAGTTCTTCTTATAGAACTCCTTCCCACCCCTTCTTTTTTTTTGACTGATGGGATGGATTGTAACTACATTGATGGTAAATATAATTCCTGAGGTAAAATACCACACAACTGTGTTTACAACTTAAACACACTTGTTCCCACAAATCATTACTGAGATGAATTTTAATATGAAGTGAAATGGATGGTAAAAACTCATAGTGAGATGAAAAATACATGGAGTGAAAGTGGGTTAAGACCCATCAAAACTTCTCCTCCCTTCTTGTTGGATAAATCACCAACATAAAAACGAAGAATTGATCTGATGAGTTTTTTTTCTCATAAAACCTTCTTTTCTCTTGCTCAAGAAACCATCAGAAGATAAACAAGAAATTGATCTAAAGAAATCTTCATTTTCCTTTTTTAAACTTTTGAAGAAAACATCAAATAGACAACTTCAAAAGAGTTTACCAAAGGAAATCATAAACTGAAAGTGATTTAGTTAAATAATAACGAAAAAATTCTTCTCCTCTCAAGTTTCTTGGATAAAAACACTGATATGTGAAGAGAGATGGGGAAAAAATTCGTAAGAGTCTTTTCCCTCCCTGATCTTGCTATGGTTAACCATCAAAATATAAGTAAGAACAGTCTAAGTGGGTGTTTTTTTAAAAAAAAAAAAAACTTGAGAGATGATCAAAAGAACAAAAAACGTTCAGATCTGGAGATCTAAGCTAAAAACGTTGATAGATCTAAAATGTCTTTGCAAGCTTCATAAATGTTCAGATGAGTTAAGAACTCAACAGATCTTGAGATCTGAGCTTCAAGACGAAAATAGATCTACAGATCTGAACTGAAAATGGAGTAGATCTTGAGATCTAAACGATGGTTAAGCAGATCTGAAAAGATCTTGGCAAGATCCAAACGGATCTGAACAGATCTTGGCCAAAGCCAAACGGATCTGAACCAAGTGGTGCTAGAAATGAAGAGATCTGAGAAGAACCTGAGCTGAAGCACAACAAATCTGAACAGATCTAGGCAAGAACGAGCTTGAAACCAACTCAGGCTTTTGCTACTTGCTCGAATCCGGGATGGCGCCAAATGATGCGACATCGACCTCCGGCGGATCTTCTGGTCTTCTGCTGCGGCGGAGATCTGGACATCACAGTGCAAACCCGTTAGAGCCGCCCCAGGGACTGTGCCACGGGAGCGGGCTCCGACGGTTAAGTTAGATCAGCTAGAAGATCTGAGATGATTCTCCATAGCTGGAGGGAACCATCTTGGTGCTGGTGGTGGCTGACGGCGGCGGGTGGCGGCTGAGCCACCCTGCCGGAGTATAGTGGCGGCTGAGCCATGGGGAAGTCTAGTGGTGGCTGAACCACTTGGTAGAGAGTCCTCCTCCATGGAGGAGGTACTGTTCATTATATAGGGGACAATTAGGTCAGGCCTTGGGTCAGCCCAATTCAGGCCCAGCTAGCAAGGAGCTGGGCAGGGCCGCCCGGAGGTGTCGGGCGGGGCTGGCGGGCGCGCACCAGGAGAGGATCGCAAGGGAGTGCCAGGCGAGGGAGCGCCTGGCCGAGCCGGCAGGAGAGTCCCCAGCTGGGCTGGCAAGGGAGTCCCCAGCAAGGCTGGCAAGGGAGCGCCAGGCAAGGCTGGCAAGGGAACGCCATGCAGGGCTGGCAAGGGAACGCCAGACAGGGCTGGCAGGAGCGCGTCAGGCCAGGCTGGCGCGCTAGAGCAGTCTAGGCCATGCCAATGGACCAGATATCATCAATATATATATATATATATATATATATATATATATATATATATATATATATATATATATATATATATATATATATATATATATATATATATATATATATATGGATTATTTTGAAAGCCTCGAATCTCTCATTGAGAAATCAAATATCTTCATACATTTTTTTTCTATTTATCCTCCTACTCATTGAATCAAGACAAGTGTATGTAGAAATCTGATTAAGATAGACAACTAGATTATGACCTGCGTAAAATGAGGAGAACATATAAAAAAAACATTATAGGTATAATGAACTGGCAAAATAATAAAAAAAAAGTAATAAAATAACAGAAACAGAATTCACATTATTGGTAATATTGAAATGTCTAAAAAACAATAAAATGCTTTAATATCTATAATCGTTAAAGGACATCTTTGTAGACAATATTTTTGTTTTATTAGTTGGACGACCTCCCTATCACATATCAGTACCTTTAAGCCTTTTTTATTTGTGACGCGTGAAACAACGATATATAATTGATCATGAGTGAAGATGGGTCTACGTAAGTATAATCCAACATTGGATTAATTTTTCTTGACTTTTGTTAATAATCATAGCAAAACAAACAACTACATGGAAATGCCTTTGTTGAAAACGAAATGGGATTCATTTATCAGGCACGGGTAACTTCTTGCCTCCAAACGTCTTATGCATGTCTGATGAACGGATAATGTCTCTAAGTGTCCTATATAAAATTCTTAAAAACATTATATTAATCACAGAATATGTAATAACAGGATTTTATAATAAACAAATAAAAATATAAACTTGTTCATCTTCTTTGACACCAATGTATGTGTCTAGCCCAAACATATAAAATGGCCTAGAACAATTTTATATATACGTACACTATGTTTGACAAAAGAAACAAAATCTATTTGGAAGAAAAAGGAGCATTGGTCATAACACATTCCACATAGAAAATATTTTTTGTCTTAGTCGGTATAAATAAGAGACAATGTATATCGCCATTTAGAAAATAGAAAAAGTAAGTAATAAATTTATTGTTGTTTAACTTAAAACGCATAATAATAACAATCTATTGGTTTTTTCTTCACATAGAACACACCTGCACCGAAGTAGCGTGCAACATTGTTTGTAATTTGTCAAGAAAATCATGAAGTTTCATAAATAACTACTTTTTATCATTTTTTTGTTTTAGGAAATTTACAATTGTCTGTAAGATAAATGTTTTATTTTTCAAAAGGTCAAATGAAATATAACTAAGTTGCTATTATCGAAATAAAATAAAATGCACTCTGTATATCAGTAGCAAGAAATAGAAGTAAGATGCTATTATTGCGTTTATAAAAAAACAATTTGCTTTTACTTGAACCAAGGTCACATGTCATGGTATTATAAACGCAACAAAAAGCAATGTACTTTTCTTATAAAAAGAAAACAAAAAATATATGTTTGATGTCATGGTCATTAAATGTTAAATTACAAAATTGAAGTTCATGTTGATGCCATTGTCATTATATGATAAATCACAAACATTTAAATTATTCATATTGTTGTTATATGAGTCTATATTATATTTTATTATGTTTTAAAACTCATTCTCCATACAAAATCACTAAAAAATTGTAAATTCATTTTAGACACTATTTTACATGTTCTAGTTTAACACTACTTTACATAGATTCTTTAATATTTTACAAAACTACCCCTTCCAAGTTATAAGGAGCACTTGATATGTGCATATTTAATCATATATTTTTTACATTATTTTAATACTTTTAGCTACAGTTATGATTAATTTTGGACAAAAGGTGCTTATTATGTTTGACATCTGTTTTGTAGTAGCAAATACATGCTCAAGATGAAAAGGAAGAAAATGAGGAGCTGGAAGCAGGAATGGATAAGCTAAAGTAAAAAAGCAGAAAAAGAAGACAAAGAAGACTTAAGGACAGAAGACCATGACATGGTGATCATGCACCATGACATGGCGAGAGGAAGATTCTCGACCAATGAGTTGACTTGGAGAATACAGGATATCCATGAAGACCATGACGTGGTGACGGTTAACCACATCGTGGTGAGCAGATATATGGAAACTATTTATATCCAATCATCAGGTCGAATGTGTAGATTTTTGACCGATATTCTGAGGAGAATTGTGAATAAAAACCTATGGAAACTCAGAAGAAGATCGAAAATCAATTGAAGCTCAAGAGTTGAAGAAGATTTAGAAGAATTCCAAATAGATCTAATCAGTTTGCTAATCATACTAATGTGTAGTCTTTATTGCATGGATTTTGTCTGTTTTTCCAGTATCATGATATGCTAGAAACCTTTTACTTATGTTTGGTGAAGATGCATCTGATCTTATTTTATTGACTTCAATTATTGGATGATATATGTTGATGTTATATGTGTTCGATAATTATAACCCTAGCATATTCTAGTTCTAGTTTACATTGCTTATTAATCAGATTATGTGTGATAGTTGATCATTCTAATTGCATGAATTTATCACCTAATTGTTTATGATCATTAAATAATTAGAGTTAGGATTAATCACATCTTAGAAAAAGTAATTAAAGCTAGTAACATTAACGGTGTTAAAAAGGCATAATTAATCCTAATTTGTGCTTGGTTGCTTAAATTTATCATAGGAAAGTAACTACTATCATTCATAATCCAATTTGTGCTCATTATCAATTTGGTGTTTAACTTATCCTTGATCATTGCATGGTAATTCATAAATTGGTAATCAATATATTCATTATTAGAAATCAACCATAGGAGAATGTGAAAATCGGAACTGAACAGAAGTACTCTTTAATTCTTGAAGTAAAATCGTGTTTATTTGCTTGCTTAGTAGTTTAATTTAAGTTCTTCTGATCTTGCAAAATCAGTAAAAGCCCCAATTTAAGTTTGTTTTTAGTTTAATTAGAAGTTGTTATTTTATTTAGTTAATGATGACGTGCCCTTAGAGTGCAGGAAGAAGTCGCGCCCGGACGCGCCAGAGAATGCGCCAAAGCATGTCGCGCCAGGCAGGCTTAGCCCGACGGAACCTAGCTCCCGTCAGCACCTCTAAGAGCAGGGCGCTCGGGGAGAAAGGCTTGGCCCCGCTAGGGGCGCCTTCCACCCTGGGACAAAATCAACGGTCTCAGGCGACAAGCCAGATGCTCAGAGCATTAGCGCCTGCACCAATCAGTGGCTCTAACAGATTAAGGAGCACGATCGCCCAATCAGTGTCCCTGATCCTGTCGGGTCTGAAGCCCTTGTTCCGTACGGGTTAGCAGAAGGATTCAGTATAAAAGGCTACCCCAGGTGCCTTGGGAAGTAAGTCGTTCTCTCTCAGTTTACTAACAATACAATATCAAGTCTATCCACTGACTTGACCTTCAGAGCTTTTTCTCGGGAGCCTCCTCCTAGAGAGCGGCTGACGATCCTTTCTCATCGTGACCTCACAGGTTCATCGAAATCATAGAAGGCGTAGAGCACCGACGTAGTGGAACCAGGTCGCATCATTTGGCGCCATCCATGGGGTGACGAAAACCAAACCAAAAGCACACTCTTCATCGGTGAAAGAATGGCGTCCGACGACACCGGGGGAACTAGTGGAACACAACCAACCTCATCAGACCTACGATGTCGTTGGAACAAAGCACCACACTGATTCTCACAGTAATCAACGGTGAAACGCCACACAAAGGCGGCTTGACAGTAACCACCGCTCCAACAACTTCACCACAACTACTGGACGTCCGAGGGCAAACTTCCTCCGCCGCCGTATGAACACAAAGCACTCCGATGCATACACCCAAATTAACGGTGATATCAAGTAGTACCACATTGCCAACGGTGGAAAACGTCAGAACCACACCGACTTTCTCACAACCACCAACGCTAAACCAGATAGCATGCAGATAACCAGTGGTATTCCAGACACCATCGCTTAACCAAATGGCATGCGAACAACCAGTGGTTTTCTAGACACCACCACTAAACCAGTTGGTGAGAAACCAAAACAATGGCTTTTCAAACACCTCCGTTCGCAACAAGCATACCTTTCTCCACCACAATACCATAGTACAAATAACATGTGCCTAATAATCCCCTTTCACAAAACTCACCCCTACTGTCCACCCAGAAGTTAACCTTCCCATTCCCACAACAAGCATTCTATGGGCAAAACCCTGGCCAATCTCCATTATATAACAACATGCTCATGCAACCCTACATCACTACCCAGCAGTATAACCCATAGGGTGCCTTTATTACCCCAAATCAAGACTGCCCTTCGTGTAGCGTAACATCTCCATTCGTCAAGGAGCTCTTGGATTACGAAATCCAAAATACAGCAAAGCTAGCACATCTCAAGACCTACCATGGAACCACAGATCTTGATAGCCACATCAACACATACAAGTGGATGATGACCTCGCTAAAGTTGGACGAGTGATTCTAGTGTACGTACTTCCCAACAACCGTAGATGGCAACACAGGAATGTAGTTCAAGATATTGGGACCAGGGAGCATCTATAACTTCGGGCAGTTAAAATACCTATTCCTGACGAATTTCATGCAGCTGCATAAATACAAGGGAGATTCGCATTCAATCATTGGCTGCAAACAAAAGGAAAGAGAGACAGTAAGATAATACTTCACCAGGTTTACCAATGCCACGCTAAACATCCCGGGAAATGACGAAGGATTGATAGCAGGCGCCTTCACATGGGGCCTCCTTCCAAGACCGCTATCTCAAAAGATCATAGGAAAAAAGCTACAGATACGTGCAGAGCTAAAAGAGAAATTAGAACGCTACCTGAGACAGGAGGAATTGGCGGCAACGAAACATGCATACCTGAACACCATGACTGCCTCGGCCACGAAACGCCATAGTTCGCCACCGTCTCACCCAGAGACCCAAGGTGGGGGCAGGCACTTTGGGCAAAGTAAGTGCTCGTAGGGACGCTTTAGTCCATTCCAAAGAGTTGAAAGGAGAAGCAGGCGGCCAGACGTCTATGTAGTATCTGATAAGGAACCGGTGAAGGGAGGAAAGGGACGATATTGTGAATACCACAAGAGTAAAACAAACGAAACCATCAAGTGCTCAGTGTTAAAAAGGGAAATGGAAGAAAAACAACTGAAAGGGAACCTCATCGAGGTAGCGCGAAGCCTTCGTGCCAAGTTTGATGCTGAAAACGCCAAAGACACCACCAGAGAGCGCGATCAACCTAACAAAATCCTGCTGATACGCTCCAAACGGGAAAGGCAGGAGGAACATGGCGATATGGATAATCTCACCAGATCCATGCAAGGACTGACGTTTTATGCAATGGATCCTCCACTAATGGGCCGGCGAGGAGATGACCCGCTTATAATCCAAGGCTCCATCAAAGATGTGACGATGCACCGGGCATACATCGATACAGGAAACTCAGCGGACATCATCTACGAACATTGTTTTTGTCTCCTACACGATCGATGGAAGGCGAGCCTCAAGCCTACAACGGGGAGACTAACAGGTTTTACAGGACACAACTTATGTCCCCAGGGCACGATTCATTTGAATTTCACGTTGATTAGCCAAGAGAAAGTAAAGAAGAATACAACCCTAATAGACTTTGTTGTGATAAGGCACCCCACAGAGCATAACATCATCCTTGGACGGATGACCCTAATCAAATTCGAAGTGATCCTGTCAACAATGCAAGTGATGACGAGCCCTTAGAGTGCACGAACAAGCCGCGCCTGGACGCGCCAGAGAATGCGCCAAAGCATGTCGCACCTGGCGGGCTAAGCCCGACGGAACCTAGCACCATTCAGCGCTTCTGATAGCAGGGTGCTAGCGGAGAAAGGCCCGGCCCCGCCAGGGGCGCCTTCCACTCCGGGACAAAAACAACGGTGTCAGGCAACAAGGTAGATGCTCAGAGCATTACCGCCTGAACCAATCGGTGGCTCTGACTGATTAAGGAGCATGGGCACCCAATCAACATCTCCGATCCTGTCGGGTGTGACACCCTTGTCCCGTACAGACTAGTAGAAGGATTCAATATAAAAGGCTACCCCAGGTTCCTTGGGAAGTAAGTCGTTCTCTCTCAGTTCACTCACAATACAATCTCAAGTCTATCCACTGACTTGAATGTCGGAGCATTTTCCCGGGAGCCTCCTCCCGGAGAACGACTGACGATCCTTTCTCGCTGTGACCTTGCAGGTTCATAAGAATCATAGAAGGCGTAGAGCACCGATGTAGTGGAACCAGGTCACATCATTTGGCGTCATCCGTAGTGTGACGAAAAACAAACCAAAAGCACACTCTTCATTGGTGAAAGAATGGCGTCCGACAACACCGGGGGAACTAGTGGAACACCAACCAGCCCCATCAAACCTATGATGTCGTTGGAAAAAACCACCACCCTGATTCTCACTGTAATCACCAGTGAAATGCCACACAAAGGCGGCTTGACGGTAACTACCGCTCCAACAAGTGAACCACAACAACCGGCCATCGGAGGGAAAACTTCCTCCGCCGCCGTATCAGCACAAAGAACTCCGATGCAGATGCCCCAATTAACAGTGATATCAAGTAGCACCACACCGCCAATGGTGGAAGACGTCAGCGCCACATCGACTTTCTCACAACCACCACCGCTAAACCAGATAGCAGGCGGACAACCGGTGGTTTTCCAGACACCAACGCTTAACCAGATGGCAGGCGAACAACTGGTGGTTTTCCAGACACCACCACTGAATCAGAAGGTGAGAAACCAAATAATGGATTTCCAAACACCTTCGTTCGCAACAAGCATACCTTTCTCCACCACAATCCCACAGTACCAGCAACTTGTGCCCAATAATCCCGTTGCACAAAACTCACCCCTACTGTCAACCCAGACATTAAACTTCCCATTCCCAGAACAAGCATTCTATGGGTCAAACCCCGGCCACTTCCAGCATATAACAACATGCTCATGCAACCCTACATCACAGCCCAACATTAAAACCCACAGGGTGCCTTTCCTATCCCAAACAAGACTGTCTGTCGTGTAGCGTAACATCTCCATTCGCCAAGGAGCTCTTGGATTATGAAATCTCAAACACAGCAAAGCTACCACATTTCAAGACCTACAATGGAACCACATATCCCAATAGCCACATAGACACATATGAGTGGATGATGACCTCGCTCAAGTTGGACGAGCGATTCTAGTGTATGTTCTTCCTAACAACCCTAGATGGCAGCACATGAACGTGGTTCAAGACGCTACGACTAGATAGCATCTATAACTTTGGGCAGTTAAAATACCTATTCCTGATGAATTTCATGCAGCTACGTAAATACAAGGGACATTCGCATTCCCTCATTCGCAACAAACAGAAGGAAGGAGATACAATAAGAGAATACTTCACCAGGTTTACCAACGCCACGCTGGACGTCTCGGGTCACGACAAAGCTTTAATAGCAGGCGTTTTCACATGGGGCCTCCTGCCAGGACCGTTGTCTCAAAATCTCATGGGAAAAAGGCCGCAGACACGGGCAAAGCTAAAAGAGAAATTAGAACGCTACTTGAGACAGGAGGAAGGGGAGGCAGCAAAACATGCATACCTGAACGCCATGACCGCCTCGGCCACGAAACGCCACAATTCGCCACCGTCTCACCCAGAGACCCAAAGTGGGGGCAGGTAGTTTGGGCAAGGCAAGCGCTCATAGGGACGCTTTAGTCCATTCCAAAGAGATGAAAGGCAAAGCAGGCGGCCAGACGTCTATGTAGTATCTGACAAGCAACCGGTGAAGGGAGGAAAGGGACGATACTGTGAATACCACAAGAGTAAAACACACGACACCATCAACTGCGCAGTAGTAAAAAGGGAAATGAAAGAAAAACAACTGAAGGGGAACCTCATCGAGGTAGCGTGAAGCCTTCGCGCCAAGTTTGATGCTGAAAACGCCAAAGACGCAACCAGAGAGCACGGTCAACCTCACGAAATCATGATGATACGCTCCAAACAGGGAAGGCCGGAGGAACATGGCGATATGGATAATCTCACCAGATCCATGCAAGGACTGACGTTTTCAGTAAAGGATCCTAGAACATTGGGTTGGCGAGGCAACGACCCGCATATAATCCAAGGGTCGATCAAAGATGTGACGATCCACCGGGTATACATCGATACACGCAGCTCAACGGACATCATCTACGAGCAATGTTTCCTTCTCCTATCCAATCGATGGAAGGCGAGCCTCAAGCCTTTAACAGGAAGACTAACAGGTTTCACAGGACACAACCTATGTCCACTGGGCACGATTCATTTGCCTTTCACGTTGACTACCCACGACAAAGTAAAGAAGAAGACAGCCCTAATAGACTTTGTTGTGATAAGGCACCCTGCATAGCATAATATCATCCTTGGACGGACGACCATACTCAAGTTCGGAGTGGTCCCGTCAACAGTGCATGTGATGATGTGTCCATAGAGTGCACGAAGAAGCCGCGCCCGGACGCGCCAGAGAATGTGCCAAAGTATGTCGCGCCCGACACGTTAAGCCCGACGGAACCTAGCGCCCGTCAATGCCTCTAAGAGCAGGGCGCTCGTAGAGAAAGTCTCGGCCCCGCCAGGGGTGCCATCCACTCCGGGACAAAAGCAACAGTCTCAGGCGACAATGCAGATGCTCACAGCATTACTGCCCGAACCAATCGGTAGCTCTGACAGATTAAGGAGCATGATCGCCCAATCAGCATCCCCGATCCTGTCAGGTCTGACGCCCTTGTCCCGTATGGACTAGCAGAGATATTTCTGTTGTAATTCCTTTTTCTGTGAAAGACTCACCAGGACCCAAGAGACTTTGGGTTCCTAAATCTGCTTGAATTTGCAGGTAATCAGTGACGAGCAGTTCGATGATGAATGGTATATAGACAGTGGCTGCTCGCGTCACATAACAGGAAGGAAGGAAGAGCTGAGGGAGTTTAGGTCCCTGAAAGATGGTGGGTGTGTAAAGTATGGAAATAACTCCTATGGAACAATCAAGGGATACAGAATGATAACAAATGGAGATTTCTCGATTCAAAAAGTGGCATATGTGGAAGGATTGCAGCATAACCTCATCAGCGTGTCACAATTAGTTGTGGGCACAGGTATGAAGGTCTCATTTGATGATGAGGGCTCTGAGATAATTGAGAAACAATCTAAGAAGGTTCTGTTGAAATCTAAACACAAGGGTGAGATGTATCCTTTAAATCTCAACCCAATACGAGGAAAACCAGCTATATGTCTACTGTCAAAGGCGAATACAGATGAAAGCTGGTTGTGGCATCGACGATTATCGCACCTGAACTTCAAAGACATTAATAAGTTGGTGCGTGGTGATCACATTCGAGGACTCCCTCTTCTCAAGTTCGACAAGGAACATCTGTGTGCAGCGTGTGAGATGGGCAAACAAAGCAGAAAGAGCCACCCCACACGAATCAACACAAAGATTATTGAAGCTCTTGAACTCTTGCACATCGACTTATGTGGACCTTCGGCTATAGAAAGCTTCGGTGGAAGTAAGTACATTCTTGTAATTGTAGATGACTTTTCACGCTTCACCTGGGTTTTCTTTCTTAAGCAGAAATCAGATGCAACTCCCAAGTTGAAGACATTCACCAAGCAAGTGGAAGTGCAGCTGAGGAAGACTGTGAGGAACATCTGAAGTGACAATGGTATGGAATTCAAGAATAACGATTTTGAGAGCTTTCTGGCTGACAAGGGGATAACTCACAATTTTTCGGCCCCTTATACACCACAACAGAATGGGATTGTTGAAAGACGAAACCGTTCTTTATGTGAAGCATCCAGAACCATGCTCAATTTCGCTTCACTACCATTATACTTCTGGGCTGATGCTGTTGCAACTGCATGCTACACTCAGAATCGGTCCTTGCTCAACAAGAGATTCTCAATTACTCCATATGAGATATTGAATAATCGGAAGCCCAATGTCAAATCTTTCCACATATTCGGTTCAAGGTGCTTCATTTTTAATTCTAAAGAGAACCGAAATAAGTTTGACGTCAAAGCCGATGAGGGAATCTTTCTGGGTTATTCGCTGACATCCAAAGCCTACAGAGTGTTGAATAAAAGCTCCAAACGAATTGAAGAAACCTATTATGTCACCTTTGACGATAATTACATGAAGAAAGTTCAAATAAGTGAAAGTGACTTAGGTGAAATATTTCCAGAATCCGGACAGGTCTCGGTTCCAATATCCAACTTGTTTGAAGAGTACATGCGGCTGTTTGATGAACCAGAGAAAGCGACAAACTCATAGGCAAAAGCAGCAGATAACATAATAGATAATCTCAAAAAGGTCATCGATGAAGCTGCCAAAGAGATGGAAAGTGAACCTCCTGAAGCTAAAGGTGCTCAATCATCAACTGACTCTCCAAGCAACGGCTCAAAGTTCCAGGGGGAGAGTTCAAATGCACCAAAGACAAACAAAGTATCTTTCGAGGAGGAGAATCCATATCCGTCCCCAACTCATAAAGGTCCAGGCGAAGGGGAAAATACTATTCCAAAACCACCACATAGTAGTCCAATCGAGGGTGAGAATCCAACTCCCACAGAGGATGCAAACTCTGCTGCTGCCTCAGGTTACACTTCGCCAGTCGAGGGGGAGAAAGAAGATACAACTAACGAAGGTGATGATGATCAATCAGAATTTGAAGTAGAAGTGAATGCTGAATTGGATCCAACATATGATCCAAACTATCCTCCGTTAGCAAAATGGACCAAAGACCATCCCAAAGCACAGATTATTGGTGAATCTTCTGAGAAAGTTCTTACTCGTTCTCAATTGAAAGCAAAACAAACTGCATTATTCTCTAAAGTTGAATTTTGTATGTTTAATTCGTTTATTTCCAAGGTTGAACCGAAAACTGTAAATGCTGCACTTGATCATTCTGATTGGGTCCAAGCAATGCAAGATGAGCTCCATGAGTTCGAACGCAACCGAGTTTGGAGGCTGATTCCCACACCAAAGGATGCTTCTGTGGTTGGCTTGAAATGGGTCTTCAGAAATAAGTTAGATAAAGAGGGGAATGTCATTCGCAACAAGGCTCGGTTGGCGGTGAAAGGATATTGCCAAGAGGAAGGGATAGATTATGAAGAAACCTTCGCTCCAGTAGCTAGGTTGGAATCAGTTAGAATCTTCTTGGCTTATGCTGCTCATAAAAACTTCGAAGTTTTTCAAATGGATGTCAAGTGTGCCTTCTTGAATGGAGAATTAGAAGAAACAGTTTATGTTGAACAACCGCCCGGGTTTGTGAACGAGAAATTCCTTGATCATTGCTATGTGCTGGATAAAGCTGTCTATGGATTAAAGCAAGCACCGAGGGCCTGGTATGAAACTTTAACTCGCTTTTTGAAAATGTCAAAATTTAAGCAAGGTTCGGTTGACCCAACCTTCTTCCGTAAGAAAGAATGCGAACATCTAATGATAGTTCAGATTTATGTTGATGATATCATCTTCGGCTCTACGAATCCTAGCTTAACAGCTGAATTCAGGAAGTTGATGGAGACTAAATTTGAAATGAGCGCAATGGGTCCAATTAATTTTTTCCTTGGTTTAAATATTAGACAGGGTCGAGAAGGCATATTTATCAACCAGGAGGCCTACACAAAGAACTTACTGACCAAATTCGGTATGACGGGTGACTCAAAAGTGAAGGTTCCTATGGCATTTGGCACTAAGTTAACACCATCTCTGGAAAAACCTGCTGTTGACATAACACTATATCGTCAAATGATAGGGTCCCTTATGTATCTAACAGCTAGTAGACCGGATATTATGTTTTCTGTTTGTTATTGTGCTAGGTTTCAAGCTAATCCAAGAGAACCTCACATGGTGGCAGTGAAGAATATATTCCGTTA